CCCCAAAACCCCAAAACCCCAAAACCCCAAAACCCCTAGAGGCTAATTTTCATAAATACTCAATTATTGTTTTAAAGTGAAAATTATAATAAATACAAATATATTGCTGTTAAAAATTTCATAATTCAAATTTAATAAATAATGTTAAGAAGAGGAATCACTTTAACCCTAGCTGCCATATTATTAATTACTAGCTCTAATGCTATTTAACTTAAGCTAAAATCTAAGTAAGTCACAACTAACACTCCATCCCATGAACTGTTTACTAATTTCTTTATTAGTGTCCAAGTAAGTAATCAGGATCCAACTGAAGCTCCCGGAGACACATCTGCTCTTCCTGAACCACCAAGGGAAACTGTTACTTGGGATTAAATTGAAAGATATAGAGATGAATGCTGCTAATATATTCAGAAAGATCTCGATAATGGAATAATCGATGAATAGGAGGCATAAATTTAAAGAGGTCAAGTTGATAATAGAATGTGGAATCTTATTAATGAATATGAGATGGAGTAATTCTATTAAGATATTGAGGATTGTGTAATTGAAAATGAGCATAGCAGAGATCCTTTATATGATCCAGCTATTACTACTGGACCACCAGAGCCTACTGGACCTTAGGTTCCTTAACCCACTGAGGCACCAATTCCAGATCCCACAAAAGCAGCGTCCAGCAAAGCTTAACATAATACTGAAGCTAGAATCACCCTCACTGAAGAGGAAATTGAAGAATTCAGAGAGGCTTGCACCCACTATGTGGATTCACTTCTAGAATAAGGTGAAATCTCCGAAGAAAAAGCTGAAGAATCAAGAGTGAACTTTGAGGAGATTCTTTAAGAAATTCTTGACTATGGAGATTCGGATCTCTATTACTCTAATCTTTCAAGATGCTCTTGAATATAAATTAAAAACATGTTGAATTAATTTAATTTCATAATCTATAATTGCAACCTAAAATTGCAATTTATTTTTTCATTACGGGGTTTTGGGGTTTTGGGGTTTTGGGGTTTTGTGG